GTGAGGCAGCAGCCACAGGTGGCAAATTCTATGGGGCAGAAGGTGGCTGGAAATGTGTACCAGGGCAGCTCCTAAGCTGGCTTGCTGCCATAGGGTGATGTGGAGGCCTCTGCTCCATCACCAGCGCTGAAGTAAGATCCACCTACCTGTCTGGTCAGATTTTGTGTGCACAGAATGGGGAACACCCCATCCTGTACTTTGCCTCAGGCAGCAAAATGGCTTGGGCCTCTCCTGACTACCCAAGCCATACATCTTGGCTGGACCACCTCTGCTCTGGGCGTCTTGCAGTTCCCTTGTTGCTCCTATTACGGTAATCTGTCTGCAGTCAGTCAAGGGATTCATTTCTAAGAGCCATTCCAGGGAATAATTATAACTGCATCATAAATGGACAATTACTGTGCCATTATTGCTGGGATCTAGAAAACCTTTCCTTTTCCCACAAGGCAACACTGTTGATGCTGGAAGAAGAGGGGTGGGGGGTTGTTTTTCCAACACTCACGGCATTTTAAGCACACACTCAGCAAGTGCCTTCTTGCAGAATCTGACTGCATGAGCGTAAAAAGAGAGGTTTTGTGGAGCTCCTAGCCTTACTTCGGCTGCAGGTTTTACAGTCTATTATGCTTACTGAATATCATGCTTGCTGAATAAGGGACGCGGGTGGCGCTGTGGGTTAAACTAGGACTTGCTGATCAGAAGGTCGGTGGTTCGAATCCCCGTGACGGGGTGAGCTCCCGTTGCTCGGTCCCTGCTCCAGCGGGAAGGTAAACGGCATTTCCATGCACTGTTCTGGTTCGCCAGAAGTGGCTTAGTCATGCTGGCCACATGACCCGGGAGCTGTACGCCGGCTCCCTTGGCCGATAAAGCGAGATGAGCACCGCAACCCCAGAGTCGGCCACAACTGGACCTAATGGTCAGGGGTCCCTTTACCTTTATGCTTACTGAAGCACTTGCAAACACTGAAGTCTTGCAAATGTAAAAGGGATTGTGAAAGAGAGCCGGAACCTACGGCACATTAGCCACTGGCAGATCATCTCTGCTTTAAGGGCACTGGCTTTCTGGCTCTGAAATATTTGAAGTGTGAACAATTTGGCAGATGGTAATAGGCTGTATCTGGAATCCCAGAGGGCCCTATACACTTCGTATAGTTGGTGCCTGCAAAAGGAGTCAGAGATTCATGGTGCTGCCAGGGTTTAGTCAAACCTCCTTCATGCCTTTAGTCACATATCACCCCAAACATAGCCAGACCTCTCTTCCTACCAAGACGCCCCAAATTCTGCAAAACCCCAAAGTGTGGTTCAAAATAAACCATGAATATCGAGTGAGCTTTTGCAACACCTCCTTGCATAACTGCATTGGTTGGCACGATTTGTGGGGTGGTTTTTGTGGGGATCCAAACTATTTGACTTATAGGGTACGGAATGAAGTCCATGAAAGTTGATGTCATAATATGTGTTGTAGACTGTGCACACACTGTAGCACATTTGAAGTATGTTCCTTCCTTCAAAGGACACTGCTGTTTACCCCTCACAGATTCACAATTCCCAACAACTTTTAACAGACTCCAGTGTCCAGAATTCTTGAAGGGAAAGAATGTTCTTCAAATGAGCTTCAAAGGCATCCTGCGCTACAAAACACTATTTTGTTTTTGCCACAACGGGCTAACATGGCTGCTTGGAATCAATTAATATGTCGATTTCCGTTTCTCATTTTACCACTCTTAAACACACTTTGTCACATTTCTGCAGCCATCTGCAAATTTTGCTATAAACAGTCATCAGAATAGTGGTGCCCATTTCTCCTGTGACACATTTTTATATGCTGTTTCCCCAATATACACATTCTTTGCAAGCCATTCCCCCTAATACAATGCACTTTTAAGGTGTTTTCGCCAAGATATGCATTTTCACACGTTCTCCTAATGTACATACAGTGGTAACTCGGGTTAAGAACTTAATTCGTTCTGGAGGTCTGTTCTTAACCTGAAACTGTTCTTAACCTATGGTACCACTATAGCTAATGGGGCCTCCCACTGCCGCCATGCAATTTCTGTTCTCATCCTGAAGCAAAGTTCTTAACCCGAGGTTCTATTCCTGGGTTAGCGGAGTCTGTAACCTGAAGCGTCTGTAATCTGAAGCGTCTGTAACCCGAGGTACCACTGTATTTTTGTGCACATGTTGTGATTGGAGAGCTGCACTGCAAAGTTTGGGCAGGTGTGAATTTCAAAGGATAACTGCTTTTTTTGTTTGTGTATTGCTTTGAGAAGTGTGAATTAGGTCAAACTGAATTTCTCTGCCCTGCCCCCAGTATCTCCCCTCTGGCAGATGCAGAATGTGGACAGAGGCAACCAACACAGGGCAAATCTGTATATGTCTTAGGGGTGCCTCCCTTCCAGCAAGTACACAGCACATTGTTAGGCCTCTGGCTCAAGTCTTCTGCCTTCTCAAAGCTGCTAAGGAGCTGGGCCACAGGAGGATCCCAGGGTGGCTCTCAGCCACGTCCTGCCGTGTCCTCCAGCCCATGTTGCTTGTGGGTCCCAGCACTGGAGTTGGCCTTTTATTGTCTCCGCATTAGGCATGGCTGCTGGTCCCTCTGCCTGCCTCAATGGGGCATTGTTCGCCGTGCCCAAGGGAAGCCAAGGGAATGCCTGTGTGGAAGCAGCAGACCATCCCTAAGCGCTGAGCTGGGAATGAGGACTGAAAGTCACCGACAAAACTGAGGACTGGCACAACTGCAGGGAACGAACCAAAAGCCCATCCAACCCTGGCTGAAACTGGGTTTAAGCAGAAGGGGGTTGCCAGGTGGGGCAGAGCTGATATGCGCTTGGAAACATTGGGACAGCACCTGAGGTTCACCTGCAAATACCAGATATCCAGTCACTTTTGATACTTCCTTCCTAGAGAGGCTTGTCCAATAGCCTTTTTCAGTTTGACCCTGAAAATGATGAGGGTTATGTCGAATCATTATGAACATCCCAATGTAAATATGTTGCATGTGGCGCTGTGGGTTAAACCACAGAGCCTAGGATTTGCCGATCAGAAGGTTGGCAGTTCAAATCCCCGCGACAGGGTGAGCTCCCGTTGCTCGGTCCCTGTTCCTGCCAACCTAGCAGTTCGAAAGCACGTCAAAGTGCAAGTAGATAAATAGGTACTGCTCCAGTGGGAAGGTAAACGGTGCTTCCGTGCGCTGCTCTCGTTCACCAGAAGTGGCTCAGTCATGCTGGCTACATGACCCGGAAGCTGCATGTCGGCTGCCTTGGCCAATAAAGTGAGATGAGCGCCGCAACCCCAGAGTCGGTCATGACTGGACCTGATGGTCAGGGGTCCCTTTACCTTTTAAGCTGTATAGGGTCCTTCCCAGTGTTCGTTCTACTCAAAGCAGACCCACTGAAATTAATGGAAATTAAGCAGATGTGCTTTGAGGAGAACTTGGTTGGATGCAACCTGAAACTAAACGAATAAACAGATCCAAGTCAGGGGTGTCCCTGCTTCCCCGTTTTCTCACATAAGTCAAAACGGGCCTGGGAGAGAACTTACAACTTCATGGTGAGGGTGATAAATGGCAACAGGCATAATAAGCTTCTTGCACAAAGCAATTGCTTCCTCGGATGGTATAATATTCCCCGTGCCTGTTAGTGTGAAGGCCATCAGCTTGGATGGCAAACCTGCTTTTGTTACCTGGATCAAAGAATTCTAAGCCCAGGTTCTCATTAAAGGTTTCACATTTAACCAGAGGGAGTAAATCCCCTTGAAGGCAGCAGGGCTGACTTCTGAGTACATATGCATAGGTTTGCACCACATGCTTTTTTAAAAAAGGATTTGAGGATGAAGCCCCAAAAGTCTCCTGCCCAGATCTGTTCTGTTGCATTAGCATGATATCTCCTGCTCCAAATAATATTGCAGATCCTGCAGCAACTCAGCTCTGCTTTTATAGCTGGTTCTTTCCTACACCGAACAACATTTTGGAAATAGCATCATCCATGAGGCTTTTGACTAGTAATTCAGAGAGTGCCTCTAGCCAGGCACCGCACCCTGAAGCTGAAGAGATCTTTGGATATCTGCCATAAATACTCACAAGTGAAGGAATTAACATTTCATCAGCCTCCTGTGCTGCAAGGGTTTTTGCCTTTCTTCCCAACTTTCCATGTTTTTCCTTCTCTAGTGATGGCCTTTTCTTCCCTTAACCGCTGAGTTGAGCAAGATTTCCTCCAGACGTTTCATCAGCCTCTTGGGACTGATGACCCTCCTTGCTAGCCTATTAATAATTATTCCCAGCTCTTTAGGGGGAAGGGAGAGGACTTCTGCATTCTCCCATTGCCAGTTCTGGGAAAGGAGTAGGTTTTAGTGATTCAACCACAGGCAGCTGCCCACCAGGAATTCCGAATTCATTTGCTAAGCTGCCCTCAATTACACAAAACCACCTGGAGAAGTCATGTTTCCAACGGCCACCAGGGAAGCTACCATGTGCCTGCCCAGAAAGCATTGCACCCCAAGAGATCTCTTGCAGGGCGATGCAGGAAACCACCCCCTGCAACAGTGCAAATGATCTCTTGACTCATCCTGTATCCCTGAGAAGGAGGTGCAGGGTGAAGTGTCCCGGGCCAGCACAGCTACTTCTGGGAAGGAGAGGGACTGAGCTTGGCGTCTGGCAGGGTAGAGGGGATTTGATGGGGAGTGGAGGCCCGGAGACCCAGAAAATGTGCGCCAGAACTCACCTTCCTCCCCGCTGCCCTGCCTCAAACACTTAAGCTTTGCAGTGCAGGGATTTAATCCCAGAACATAAGAGCTAACTTCCAGGGGCCGATGTCCCCCCCATAAAATATTTGAAGGGACCAGCTCCCACCCCCCACCCCCCACCCCCGTTAATGGGCATTGCCATTCAAATTGTGTGCATGCACCGCGTCTTGTGATCGATTATGCAGGGCGGGGGTTATCTGCAACTCCCCCAATATTTTATTCAAGTTGGCACCCCTGTCCCAGAACAGACAAACCCTGAAGCTGGCTCAGGCCAGAGGCTCAGCCGTCTGTCTCTCAGAAACCAGACCGCGAGCTGGGGTATAGAAAGAGCGCCCCTGAGAGCGCGCAGAGTGCCCGTCCCTCGCTGCAGCCCGTGGCACCAGGGGCCGGGATTTCCGGGCGGCCTTGAACATCCCCCCCTCCCAGCCCGGTCAGACCAAGCCCTCGAACCAGATCCGTGTCCCCGGCCTGCCCATTCCTGCGCGGCATCAGACGTGTCCCGGCTGGCCCCGGCCCGCTGGGCTGGCAGAGACGTCTCTCCTCGGGCAGCTGCGAGGGAGCGCCTCTCTCGCGCGCTAAGCCCGGGACAGACGGCCCGACGGAGTGGGAGCGCTCGGCGGCTCACAGCCAGCTCTCTCTTCCCCACCCCGGATCGCGGAGGGTCCCGGCCCCACCCGCAGCTTGCTGGCTGCCCCGAGCTGTCGGCGCTCGGCTCCACGCCTAGACTTCGTGGGAGCGGGAGGTGCTGCCAGCGGCCGCCGCCCCCTCGAATCTCAGCGGGGACGGGGAGCTCTTGCTGCGACCCGAAGTTCTCCGCAGCTCTTCTGGGTTGGGGGAGAAAACGCAAGGGAGCCCAGCCGGGGCCGCCTCTCCGAGGCGCGGTCAGGAGCCAAGACCCAGGGGGCGCGCCGACGGACGAGAGCAAGCTGCTGCTGCTGCTCCCCAGGCTCCCCGTCCCGCCTCAAGAGCAACTCGGGTAGTAGCCGGCCATTTCTGACGGTCACAGACCAGCAAGAAGAGGACTTAGACGGGGCGGACGCGTTGCGCTCCCCGTGGGCAGGATCGCCAGCTAGAACTTGCACGGCGGTTCTAAGGGGCGCAACCCAGGATTCGCATGCCTCCTTCTTGCGCTTCCCACCACCCCGCCAGGTAGGTCACGGAAAACCTTTCACCATCCAGGACTTGGGCTGGTTAGCATTCCGTGTGCTTCTAAATCCGTATGTGGGAGGGAAGGTTATTGTTGGCTTTGTTTTGCTCTTTCTTCATTAGGTACCCTGTGTTCTTCGGATTAAAGGCTGTAACCAAATTTAATAAATAGCAGCTACAGCAAGAACATCGAAAGCCTTATCCGCCTTCATGCATTTGCCTGAACCTTTTCAAGGCTCACAAGCTTGCCACCTCTTGTGGCAGTGAGTTCCACAGTTGAAAAGTATTTTCTTTTCTCTGTCCTGAACTTCCCTACATTCTGCTTCAGGGTGGGGGGCTTATTATTTCTTTCTTTCTTACTTACTAGGTTATGTTATGGTTACCAGATTTTTTTCAATGAATCCAGAGACACCTTTTTATTTTATTTTTTTAAGCTGAGTAGCAACAGGGAGTCAGTAGTGGGGATGGTGAGGCAAAAGACCCTGGACCCAAGCATATAGTGGTACCTTGGGTTAAGAACTTAATTCATTCAGGAGGTCTGTTCTTAACCTGAAACTGTTCTTAACCTGAGGTACCACTTTAGCTAATGGGGCCTCCTGCTGCTGTCATGCCGCCGTCACGCAATTTCTGCTCTCATCCTGAAGCAAAGTTCTTAACCCGAGGTACTATTTCTGGGTTAGCAGAGTCTGTAACCTGAAGCGTATGTAACCCGAGGTACCACTGTACATGCATATTGTATAAGGTGCAAAGGCCTTCTTTCGCACCCTGTGAAACATAAATGCGCAGTTTTTTTAAAAAACTGGGCAATGGCCGTCCGCCCGCGACTCCCGAGCCTTCCCCGATCAGTCAAAACAAAGGGGGGAAAGGGGTAGGAGATCGCACAAGACACATCATATGTGCACAAGACACATCATATGGGGACTTCTGGCGAGGAAAAATGGCAGGCACCATGGCAGCGAGCAGCTCCTGAAGCCAGCCAACTGTGCTACCAGGCTGGCTCCGGGCTGCTGAGGCTGCCGCTGCCACGTTTCCTGGGGACAGATTTGCAAATCTGGGGATATTCCAGGGACGGAATTTGTCCGGGGACAGATTTGCAAATCCGGGGACTGTCCCCAGGAACCAGGGACATCTGGTAACCCTAGGTTATGTATTTTTCTGCTTTTATGTTGTAAACTGCCCTGTGATCCTCAGATGAAGGGTAGTATAGAAATTAATAATAATAATAATAATAATAATAATAATAATAATAATAATATCCCCTATTTTATGGAAAACCAACAGAGAGCAAGGGAGGCATCTTCTCCACGGGTTGGGCACTTTAAAAGGTGGTCATCAGTGTCATAATATTAGCTACCTCCAAGGTAGCAATGCAGAAGCTGGAATCATGAGTTCTGAACGGAAGTGCTCCATTTCTGTCCCAGGATGACTTCTTTTAGAGTAGCCTCATCTTAAACACACCATAGGAAAAGTGTTTCTTTAAACTTCCCTGGATATCTGGGAAAGGGTCCTCTGCAATCTGGCAGTAAGGCTGCAGTCCTATAAACGCTTATCTGGAAGTTAAAGCCAAAGGAACTCAATGTGGCTTTGTTTCCGTATAGATATACATAAGTCTGAGCAGTAAATCTCCTGGTTGGGAGTGTGGGGCAGTGGGGTGGGGGTCAACCTTGAGGCACAGCTCATTTAACTGTTTGGAAAAAATGATAGTGGGGTGTTCTCTCCACACACACACACACACACACACACACACCATTTCCCCCTCTTGTAGGTTTAACGTTTGCTGGTAACTGATCACAACACCCTGCAGCTATGCTTTACACAGCACAAGTGAAAGAAAAAGAAAAGAAAAAGAGAGAGAAGGGAGGGAAATTGGTCTCTGCTGCGATGAGCTTACAGTACAGGCTATAATGTTGGACAGTGTCAGGAATCAGCGGTTAGCTGGGGAAAGAAAGAATGTGTAGCATGGGAAGAATGGAAACAGATGCCGTTGGGAAGGGGCTGGGAAATTCAGCAAATGGACTTTGTGGGAGAGGAGAGCTTTGAAGAGAGATTTGCAGGAATTGAGATCGAGAGGGATTTGCAGCCAGCAGAAGGGAAAGCAAAAGAAGTCTGTCCCCTTCTGCTTTCTCTCCTCCTGGCATACCTGCTTTCCTGCAGAGGCTCTCCCCCCCCCCCCCATTCTCTAAGAGAAAAGCAGCTTCAGGAGGGGGACAATGGAGAGCAGAGAGAAGAGGGTGAGGAGAAAGGGCCTTTAACCCTTCCCAATGCTTGCCTGTCTTTCCTGGAGGCTGCTAGCAGCCCTGCAAGCTCAGGAAATCCAGGCTTCTCTTTGCCCTGCCTTTGCAGGTCCCATCCAGTTCAGGCTCCATTGTGGGCATGGCAAGATAGGCAACCAATGCTCAATGTATGTAGGGACAAAATGGAGAGGTTTGCCAAGCCAGGTGAATCACTCTTTCCCCTGGATTATGTCCCTGATTGCGAGGCTGGCATCGGCTTCTCTTTAATATCTTGGCCTTCGTTGTCCGTGATTGACAATCCTGTGTGTGTGTGTGCATATCATATAGTGCAGGGGTCAGCAAACCTTTTCAGCAGGGGGCCGGTCTACTGTCCATCAGACCTTGTGGGGGGCCGGACTATATTTTGAATAATAATAATAATAATAATAATAATAATAATAATAATAAACGAATTCCTATGCCCCACAAATAACCCAGAGATGCATTTGAAATAAAAGGGCAGATTCTACTCATGTAAAAACATGCTGATTCCTGGACCGTCCGCAGGCTGCATTGAGAAGGCGATTGGACCGGATCCGGCCCCCGGGCCTTAGTTTGCCTACCCATGATATAGTGTGACGCCCTGCTTTTGTCCTGCCAGGATCTGGGTCAGTTGTTCCTCACTGACCTTTGGGTGGAGAAGCTGTTGGACCTCCCTCTGATGGTGTGAAAAGGCTCAGCTAGCCTGGATCCCAGTGTTGAGCATGTTTCTTGGAAGTCAGTCCCACTTGGGATTACATTATGAGTGCAGAAGAGTAGCAGCCATCGGTTGAATTTCCATGTCCAGTGTCTAAGGATGTCAGGACATAGAGCTATCCCCTTCTACTAGCCCAATGCTAGCTATGACTCTCCAAGGTTTTGCACAAAAGGCATTCCTGGCTGTTTCCTGAGAGCCCAATGGGAGATGAATCTAGGATCCTACACATGCAAAAGGGGTACTATGCTGCCGAATTAAGCTGCACACACTGTACAATTGATTTTTTGGGGGGGAAGGAGGGGATCAAAGGTAGGTCTGTGCCTCCCCATTTCAACTTTCAGTTTGTGATCCCTAACGGCACTTGGTGAGAGTCTGCCATAGTTCCATGCATTTAACTGCTGGCTGGTAGTTTTGTGTACCGATTGCATTCCCTCCACCTCCCTCCCTCCCCCATTCAGCCGTTGTATATCAAATTGTGCAAAGTCAAGGGCAATTCCTCACAGCCTGGCCTTCGCAGCTTTCCCCCATAAATCACTGCAAATGTTGATGCTCTGTGAGGCATCTTCCCTGTACTTTTGAGCAGAGAGCGCCTGTTGATCTGTTTGAAGCCATCAGGCTTTGCAGGTTACAGTTCCCAGCCTGGGAATCTCTTCTCATCGCTCCTCTCTCACATCCCTCTCTGAAACTTCTTTGTCTCTCATCCCTCAGAAATGACCCCATCCTGAACCCAGTTTCTGGGCTTATGAACAGGAGGATCACCCTCAGATTGATTACATTGCTGCCTCACCCCCTCCCTTCCATGAGGCCAATGTGGGGAGAGTTATTTCACAAACTCTGCTTCCTCTACATGGAGGAAGAAAACCCCAGACCTCACAATGCCCAATGATCACACACCCATGTCTGCTTTGCCCAGCATTGGGAAGCTGTGACTGGCAAGCCGCAGTGTGTGTGTGTGTGTGTGTGTTTGGATAATCAGATAAAATGAAATAAAGAATGCTTCATCTCCATGACCAGCTTCCAAGATGTCTCTAATCATTCTGAAAACAAGTGGCTGCTGGTTGATAGATCAAAAAAAGCACATTGCAGATGCTGCATGGAACTTGTGGACTGCACTAGGAAAGCCTGCTGACCTAGACTCACAATGGCAGCGGGCCCTTGGGAAGGGAAAGCGGAGAGCAGAGGTGGATTTAGGGGAGAGCAACCAGTTTGGTCGTACTGGGTGCAGAGCCTTGGAGGCGCCACAGTCCTTGGGGACGTGGGTTGCACTGTGGTCTAAACCACTGAGCCTCTTGGGCTTGCCGATCAGAAGGTCGGTGGTTCAATCCCCACAACGGGTGAGCTCCCATTGCTCTGTCCCAGCTCCTGCCAACCTAGCAGCTCGAAAGCACACCAGTGCAAGTAGATAAATAGGTACCACTGCAGAAATGAATGGCAAGATCTTGTATCGCTCTGGCAGAAGAGAACTGCCTTCTAGGTGAGAAGCAGCACATTCTGTGCTGCTTTTGGCTTTGCCAGCACCATTCCTTGAGCAAGTTTTGCTGGAGAAGTGGTGTTGTATGAATGAGAAACAGCCTGCAAATCATAATCTATCAAGGATCAAAGACTTTGTCCGGTTAATCCAACTCCTTTCCCTGTCCAAGCAGTATTATCTTGATTGTTGCTTTGTAGAAGCAGCCAAGATTGAGCTATTTGGAAGCACCATATGCATGCACAAATCCCTTCTTCTTCTTCTTCTTCTTCTTCTTCTTCTTCTTCTTCTTCTTCTTCTTCTTCTTCCCTCTTCCTCTTCTTCCTCTTCTAATATATTTTTATTACAGATTTTTTAGTTTAGAAAAATATGTGCATTGTCTCTTTTTTTCCAAGTTGTGTTTTCTACTGATCAGTTTCGTTTGTTGTGAGACGTTAGTGTTGCATGCAGTGTTAGGTTAGGAAGAAAAGAGGGGGGAGGAGGGGGGAATGGTGAGTGGGGTGGGGTGGGGTGGCAATGCGTCTATTCTTATACTTAATATATCTGTGGGGTTTGTGTCAGTGTC